GGCATATTTGATCACTATTGTTAAATAATCTGCTCTTGTTCTTTGTGCCGCCCACTGACAGTGAATGACTGTTAATGAAGATGGCTCCATGGTGCAGTAGTTAGACTCTGATTCAAGACTAAGACACAAACTCTCTCAGGCTGTCCCAAGCTCAGATAAATTAGATTCCATTAAGAAGGCATGAGGTGTAAAATCTGGGCCAAATTGAACCTCCAGAGCCATCTGCTGTGGTTCAGTTCTAAGTACCAGAACTACCGCTGTCCTATTTTGATCTAATTTATACCTGTATGCTACAATGTTAAATGATAAAATCATCCTCAGTTCAAGTATAAAAAAATATTTTCTTTCCATTTCTAAACTCGCATGAGATTCAGAGCAGAGTAGGTCCCTGACACGCAAGTTTAGCATTTTCTGTAATCTGGTCAGTATAACTGTTCTCTGCAATAGTCTTTTAAGCCAGTTGGCCATATGGTGGCCCAGCTTGAGCAAGACACAGGTGGCTCTGATTACAGTGAATCCATCATAGCACTCTTTTTCCTTTTCCCATAAAATACCAAGTTTGTGATGTTAATGAAAGCTAAACTTATGCACGTTTAAAAGTGTATTAATCTCATCCTTGTTCTATGACAGAGCCTTTTATTTTAAGTGGCTGAATTTGTGCGGCACGGTGCATTGATGCACGGTGACTTTGTTCGTCTTGTGCACGTTCAGCCCAGTACCATCACGTAAAGACGAGATATTTTTAAAGGTGAGCTATGATGTCACTTGAGGCCCTCATAGTTTTATGAGACATTACATTTTCAAACTGATAAGTCAAGGTTAGTCCCACCAATGGTTCTGAACCTTTTTTTTGAGTGATGTTTGAATGGTATAGCATATGAAAAAATCAAAGTGAGGAAGTTTAATTCTGTTTGTGTAGAGGCCAAGGCATGGTTAGAAATGGTGATGAGTTCAACTGCAATTGTGTGTAACTTATCAGTCACCACCTGGTGGCAGTATATAACTGCCCTATGTGGGTATTAATTCCATGCCATACACAGATGTTTGACCCAGGAGCCCAGACTGGGTGGATCACTGTTACAGGAACATATCAAATAAATCCTCTTATGAAAATCAAAATATTCAGACAGAGTGTGCTGGTGAAAACCACTGACAAGGGTAACATTGACCGTTTTGTTACAATGCATTATTTTACTGGTAGACACTCTGTCTTTATCAGTATATCAACCTGACATGCTTCACATGGCAGCGGCATGCTGTTCCTCAAAAGTTCAAAGTGCCCCGTGACACTGAAAAAACAGCTCAACTCGTGTAACGTGACAAAGTATCAAGGTGATGAAAGGGCCCCTAAATGTCCCTGATCCCAGTCTGTGGGATATACTGGAACAAGCCTAATTCACGGAAGCTCTTCTGCCAGCTTCCTGCTTCCAGAGGTCCTACATCCATACACAGCTGGTTCATGCCTGTTTGAGCAGCACAGAGAGTTGGGCCTTCGTGAAGCTGGTTTTAATACTGAGGCAGATCAGTGTACACAGTTCATATGTGTGATGCTACACGAGTGTGTCTAAATGTGAGGTGATCAAACCTAAAAAAACAAACACTTTTTTGTTTTTGCAGATTATTTGAGTCATTTTTGCCTGATAAGTACACAGAAAACTGGTGGTGACAACATTCACAGATTCGGACCTTCAAAGTTTTAGCTATACTGCTGTCTGTCTCCACCCTACATTCATTGTCTCAAGTGAATGTAGAGAGTGTGTGTGAACACCCAGAGGAGCCTATATAACCCTGGAATGTGTTGGACAAAGGAAAGGGTGAAGAGATGAGGAGAATGATGGTTATATGGGAGGATAAAATTCAGGACAGCGAGGAGAGAAAGTTGGTGAATGGCAGGTGCTATTGTGGCCTAAATGCAGGAGCCTAAAACGACAAGGTCAAAGGTCAAAGTGAAGTTGCATGGCTAGCCTCAGCTCCCTGGACGTCCGCCCAGAGAGATACCAATACGTAATAGGCCAAGGAGCCATGGGAAATAACCAAAGGGACATAAAGGTACGTGAAGGAAAGTAAAGAGCAAAAAACAGAACATTTGGAGAGAAAAGAAAAACAAACCAATGACAGAATGTGGAGACATTAGAAAGCAATTTGGATGCATTTACATGACTAGCTCACATCTGATAACATGCCTGTGCTGATGGAAGAAAAATCATGTGGGACGTTCCCCTGTAGAAGTGATGGGCTCATTGCTGAATGAACAAATTAGCTGTGTCCTTGTTGAATGAAGCTTGTTGGCTGCGGTTTCCTGTTGAGGCCTTCTATTGTACTGTATCGTGGATTCCCCCCCCCCCCCCCTCCGAAGTTGTGTTTGGCTTCAAACACGCGATTCACCCTGTTATTCCACTGAAGAGGCACAGGAATGCACACAGGAATGCCCCTCGGAGTGTTTGTTGACACTCGTGTGACCGCTCCGCTCTCAGATGTCGACAAAGACGTTTTGTTGGGATTCACTCGGTTCTCTCCCTGGAGAAGACTCTGGGAGCTGTGAAGCTGTCACGCAGGATATCGCGACAGCTAAGACCTGAATGGAAACCAGGGGGCCCCATTGCTCAAGGCTGTCTCGTGACCTGGGTGCTCAATTTTGATGCCCAGATCAATTTCTGCTGTATCTTGTCTCCTCTTCTTTTCTCACCCTGCTGAATGGAGTGCGATCAGTGGATCTGCCTTTTTAACTCGCTTTCGTCTCTATCTGAGCGTGCCGTGAGATGGTCTTGTCCTCCCGCTTGTTGTGAGACGTGGCAGCGGGGTCCATTCAGCAATAAAATTGGCTGTAATTAGTGCAATTATGCTGATTTTTACTTGTGTACCACGCAGAACAGAGTTTTCAGTGCGAACAGAGACGTCGCCAGGAAACTGCTGCAAAACAAAAACCCATCAATCAACAAGGACCTTGAATGAAAGGCTCAATTCTGAACACATTCCACAATGACAGCGTTCACTCGGCTTTGACCTGGGCTGTGATCTGGGGGGCCATGACATCTAGAGCTTCACTGATATAGAAGGAAATGTGCATTAAACCAGTATTGGAGGAAAGCACATAACCCCGACATACAGCAAAGCGGCAGTCGAGCATCCAAAGATGTAGCTGAAGGCAAACCCAACTCAATCGAACTAACCTAAGATATTTTTGAAACAATCCGCACGGCAAATCATTAATCGTGACGTAAAGAATCATCAAACTGACAAAACTAAAAGAGGGATTAGGTGTCTTCTGTAAATAAGAAGAATATTTTCTTTCTGGATAAATAATATTTACACATCTGTGGTTGTTTCTCATTGGATGATGGCTGAGGTGAAGGTCATAGTTTGCTCAACTTTACGTTGGCATGTCTGTGTCAATATTGGCCAGAGAGACTGACAAAGCATGCATTCAAAAGCAGATTTCAAGGTGCGGGAAAAACGAGCTGCATCCAAAGTATAATGAGCCATCTTGTTAGCTGGTGAACTTTTCAGGGTGAAAAGTAAGGGAAAAACACCACAGCTTTTGAAATGTGATACACGGGCAAACATGTAAAAATCTGTCAGTCAGGGAAAGCTTGCGAAACGGTCGATCGTTAGAAAACAGCACTCCCATCAGAGTCAGCAGATGTAAAGCGCACACTCCTGTGTGTTTTTTATAAATTAATTCGCAGAATATCAAAAGTGTAGATTGTCATATCAGGTCCAGTGAAGAATCTCAACATGTTTCTTTCTACCTTTAAAAGTTTGTCTGTGTTTTTTTGGGGGATTAACAACCACATGAATCCCAAAATCAAGAAAACAGACATAAAAGGTAATCTGCTGATAATACTAATCACTTTTGGGATCAGTTCTGTATCATTATCATCCCCATGCACTGTCACAGGGACTCCAGAAACTCAGATGTTTCAAGTTCAAATGTATTTATTTGAACAGATTTAAAAGAGGATCTGACCTGCTTGCAAACAGTCAGTCATAGCCATTCATCTACTACTCTTATAAAATATAAATAAATATATAGATTGAGCCGTCTTGAGTGGAAACACCGACTCAATGTCTCAATGGTGCGGCTCAATGTCTTGAGCCGCACCTCAAGAAATGAGGTGCGGCTCAAGACATTTCCACAGTACTGTACACATATATATTCAAACTATTAGCTTTAAATTCCTATACTTGCATACTTGCAAAAAGTGTATATTATTCATACTTCAAGTGAGCAACTTTAGCCATTTCCCATATCTCCAATATTGATATTTTAAAATATTGGATCCAGTTATGTTGGCTGCCTATTTAAACTGTTCTTTAGCAAATACATTTAAACCTATGCCTACTTTAAGCAGCACACTTCCTAATTACTTAAAAATATATCCATATAGTTCTATATTTATATATTATATTAACAATATATACATCAAAAAGATTTTTTAAGATACTTGTTTTTTGATAAAATATTTAACAATTAATAATATTTTAAATAATGTATCCATATACATTTATACATTTTTTGTCTTTCTGCCCCTAAAACATTCGTTTTAGATAACTGTTACCTTTTCTGCTCAAAGCTGCTCAGGCTAATTGACCTATTTGTCTACTTAACCCCCAGGCTACTGCAGTAATACCCCCCGGGGTACTTGCTCCACCAGTTAGGAAAATTACCCTAAGGTACACATCAGCGGATATGTTCACTCTTTGCAGTCACAGTGTCTTTTGTCAGTCAATTGATGACAAAATCAAAAGTAATTAAAAATAAAGTTCGATTTCTATCATTTCCACTCGACTTTGAGATAATTAATTCTTAATTTTGAGAGGGTATTGAGTAAGGGTGAGGGGGCTCTTGGAGGAATCCCTTGGAGCCCCCCGTTTGACCCCTCCCTGCGGCTGATCTGCGTCTGGCAGACAGGCGGGCAGCCGCGGCGGATCCAAGCAGAGTGTCTTTAAGACCCAGCGGAGCTCGGCAGGGAAACCCCGCGGCTTGAGTTGTTTCTACTCTCCAGAGTGTCAGCTAGTTATTTGTGGGGAGGCGCTGTAGCCATTTCGCCACATGAAAGCCCGATGAGCTGAACGAGCAACATCCGAGTTGTTCGTGGAGAAGCAGAAATCAGCTTTGAGGAGCTCTGCGCGCACACACGTACGCGAACTTTGCGCGCAGAAGACGCACAGCGCTCACACACACACACACTTCCTCTCTATCCACCGTGGAAAAAGAGAGAGAGAGAAAGAGAGAGAGAGGGGGAATAGAGAGAAGACGCACGAAACTTCCAACTCTCCCATGTGAAAAAGAGAGGTTTGAAGATAAGGTGTATTTTTCCCCCTCGGACCTCCTTTCCTTCCCCTTTCCTCTCTCTCTCTCTTTCTCTCTCTCTCAGTTCTTTTGCCGGGATATTTGTGTTTCTATGAGAGCCTCTTTCGGCGAGAAGAGAAGTTTGGTTGTTTGCCTGGTCGGCTGAGGAGGAGGAGGAGGAGAAGAGTCTGTTTAAAAGATGGTCCACAACGCCGCTTGGAGAAGAGGCTTGCTATGCGTCCTGGCGCTCTACCTCGGCTTTGCGTCCCCGCCGTGCAAAGCTCGGATTTACACCAACCATTGGGCAGTCAGGATAGCCGGGGGACCCGAGTTGGCTGACCGGATAGCGGAAAAATACGGCTATAGAAACATGGGACAGGTATGTGTCTTACTGCTTATTGATCCGGTCAAAGTTGCCTCTAATTTGTGTCTCTGTGTGTGTTCGTCAAGTCTTAAAATTGGGCTTAATATGCCTCTTCCAAGGCGGCAAAGTTGCGCGATTAAACCTCAAAGTCTGAAGTCCAAACCTGAGGCAACTCGGGTTCTTTTAACTCTGCAACAGACCAGGGAAGGAGAAGCTTTAAGGAACAAAGAAAGTAGACCAGTTGCAGGATGGCACAACAGGTGCCTCTTCACGGTGTTTCCACTGAAGTCTCATGTGCTTGGTCGTTTTGGCACCCCAGTGACGGCTAGCGGTGCTGTTTGGTTTATGAGCTTGGAAGTGACTCTCTCTCTCTCTCTCTCTGTAAGATTTCACTCAAAAGTCCCTGGTGTGTGAGCCAAACACCATTTTATATAGTAACATGTTCTTTCCAGTCTGCTCCTATTAAACGGGGCTGCTCAAGCTGTTTTTGTTTTGTCTTTTTCTCTTTAATTCCCCATACTGTACATAATTCCACTGTTCAAGGCCCTCCAGTATCGATTAGATCAGCCGCATCAGGCTAAATGCAGGTGCCATTGCTTAACATGGTGTAAACTAACTCCTGGATCCATCTGGTGAAGAACATACACGCACAGACACTGGCTTCAGATGTGCCTCTTTCTTTTTATGTTCTGTCATTTTATTGGTAAACACCAGATGAGGAATTTATCTGTTAGCTTTGTCCAAATGTGGTTTTAGGAAATGTTTAAAAAATTTTTTTTTAGCATAGTACTTGTTTTGTTTTGTTTTAACAAAAGAGAGAAGGCACACAAATGTGGACCTCACACATACGACTGAACTACGTGGGCAGTTCAAGCCTGCACTTGTCAGCGGTCGACATGAAGACAGCATGGAACAGAGGGGGCATTCTGACAGGTTGTTGTGGGGTAGTCCAGTCAACAGCTATTGAACCTCCACCCCTCCACCTTATCCAGCCTGCCCACCCACTATACACCCTAGAGAGTAGGCCTTAATGGCCTCGTTTATCCCCTCTCTTTGACGGGAACTAATGTGTGGACCCCCCTCTTTCTATACCACCCCCATAGGAATTTTCCTGTGGAGTGGTGGAGTGTTGATTCCAACCCCCACCATTCGCCCTAATTTCCATCTCAATACAAGAAGGCTCACTGGACTTTGACACCTCATAGACAAGTTTTTACTTCACTTCCTGGTTTGGGGGTCAGCCGAAAGCCGCTCCCATGGGAGCGATAGCAACACACTTTTGGTTGCCTAATGTGAACTCTAACACCCCCCCAGTCCTCCTGATATCAGTGCAGCACTCATGTATGTGCACGAAGAACTCAAGCTGCCAAGCGTTTGTAAATCTAAAAAAAACTTGATGGGGCTAGTAATGAAATAATTCTGGGAATAGCCGCTAAATGAGATGGAGTTTAAATTTGTGAGGGGGGGGGGGGGGATGAATGGATAGAAAACAGTGTGGCGGACAATATGGTCTTCTTCACAGGGTTGGAAAGAGGAGCACAGACAAAGATAACCACACACTGGGAGATGGGAGAAGGAGGGAGTGAAAGAAGGGACGATAGATGGACGGATGGATGAAAAGAGTTGGCATGGAGAGAGGGAGCACCTCGTTGGGGAATTCTGGGTAATCCTCTTAACTATGGAGCCCCCTTCCCAGACTAAGACACTGGCCCAAATTGAGTCTAAATCAGCTGACAAGGCCTCAGACGTGGATCTCTGTTAAAATTGGTGTTTTTTTTGAGGAGATGAGAGAGCCCGTGAAAGCCACTGGTCGTAATCTAGAGACACACATGTGCAGGAAGTGTGTGCATCAACAACATGTTACATATTTTGTGCAGTTTGTAGTATTTGTTAACACCTAGAGTCATCAGGCCAATAAGCATTGTTACTCTAGAGGTAACTAAACAAGTGCAATGTCTAGAGTAACACCTTTGTCTTTGACGACGCTAATAATCCAAACACATGAAACGATCAGTTTTCCATTGAAAAAATGATTGATTTGATTATTGAGCATTGTCTTCGATTTGTTTGAGAGGCTGTGATAAAGCTGCAGTGTTTGCACCGTGAAGCAAGAAGGTGTCAAAGTACCGCAGTGTCTCAGCCTGTGTGTTTTGTCCTGAAGTCTTTGTCCTGTTATGAGACATTAGTCTTACAGGTATGAAACATTAAGGTCCAAAGGGAAAACGCGCATCACCTTTTGGCATTTCTTGGTACTATTGTTCATGAAATATAGATGATATGGAGATTTATTGCTTCTAGTGAAAAAGGTCTGGAGAAGTAAGACATCATGAATCACTGATGAAGTGTTTTTTCTGCAGGACTGAGATGTGTAATTCCCAACAGTTAAGTAGAAGTTGTGATTCACTCTTGAATTATTCCAATAAAATTTCAGTCTACCGTAATGTGCCTGCCCATATGATCACACAGTCATATCTAGAGCAACAAGGGAAGCCATATTTGTAGGCTTAGCTGTTTTTCAAGTTAAGATTGAAAACGCACGCTGAAGGGTAGATGTTATACTGAAAGTCATGGATTTATTGGCACTTTCTTGGCTCTCATTTTATCCATCTCTAATTTGGAGTGTGTGTCGGTACATGAGCCGAAAGCTGATCTGATGGGCTCTGTGGCAGTGGAAGGATCAGTGACATACCACAGGACCCTTGGTAGCCATGACAGTTTGATCATCTGAGGGACTGTTTGGTCTTTATCAATTATTAAAACTAATCACCGACCAGCAGCTCTCCGTCTAACATTGTCTGTCTGTGGATCCTCTGTCACGCAAAATTTTTATGTGTGTGTGTCTATCTGTACATTTGTCTGGCCTCTCTGTGTTTGTCTGTTTTTGCTTTACTTGTCTGCCCCTCGCTGTCCCTCTTTTTTCTTTTTCTTTTTAAAGTTCACAGCCTTTTGTCCTTTATCTGATTGATTTAAGAGCCTAAATGTGGTTTCTGTATAATATCTGGGGAAAAACAAATATTAAGATAGAAAAATGTCATTATAATGCAAAAAAATGACCTTTGTTAGAAAAATGTTTTGAAATACTTAAAGCTATGGTGGTTCTCAGCCTTTTGATGACAGGCCCATATTCTTTCTGCAGCGCTGCAACAATCGTGCAGCCATAAAGAGTTATAAAGATCTATTTTAAACAATAATGATTAAGAGCCCTGAAATAATGACAGTGGCTCACGTATATATCCTTTCCACAAGTTCCACTTGTTTTAGAAAACAAACAAAAACGAAACTAACTGTTAGCGGTGCCGCAAAGCGCTGGGTCCAGAGCTTGAACCTCTCATGTCAGTAGCTATAAGAACAGCTACGACAAGAAGTTCACAGATGACTTGCAGATACTATCCAACTTGGTTTTCCTCTTGTAGACATAACTCCCAACTTCTGTTACTTCCACCGCTGCTAACGTCCAAACCAACCATTGTGTGCTGGTTCTCTGACAATATAGTCTTGCTCTCAGCAGGGAATAAATCAGCAGTGAGAAGATGGCGAGACCTGCGCCTTGACTTTAGAAAACTGTGAGCAGCATTAAAAATGAAGCTCACTTTTTAGGAGACTATAGCAGAGAAAGGCATAGTGGTGATGAATAGTCTGTTTGTGTGTTTTGCAGATTGGGGATCTTAGAGACCACTATCACTTCTTCCATAGTCGGACTATTAAGAGGTCGACTTTGTCCAGCCGTGGTCGCCATAGTTTCATTTCCATGGAGCCTAAGGTAAGTCTGTTTATGAAAGATTGAGCATCAGTGTTTCTTTTGTGCTGAAATGATACTCTAGGTAGTTTTATATGATCTTAATTCAAGTTCCTTTTCCTGGATAACTTGTGGTGTTCAAATCTGTACAAAGTTCACTCACTTGTGATGGAGATGACTGATTATCATCAGGTGACTCAACTGAACAAACTCCATCCGCTGATGAAGATCATGAGGTTCTGTTTGCAGTTCTGGAAAAAGCAAGTGGACCTTGAGTTAAGATGGTTTTAACTGATAAGTTAAATATTAACTTTTAGCATACACTGAGGACCTTTTGCCAGAATTGAACATGTTTTCAGTAGATTTTTCATACACCTCTTACAAGGGCTGTCATCTTACTCTGCAGTGGTTCATCCTGCGAACAGCCAAGTGAATAATGATGAAATCTGCCTACTACTGCTTTTAGTTTGAATTTGATGAGGTTAAAGGAGATAAAAGAAGATAAAAAATATCATTTTCCTTGAAATAAACTTGTCAACAGTGTTGACAATGGTTGATTCACCGTACTCCAGTACTGGGCTGGACCCCCGTTTCCTTCAGAATTACCTTAATTGTTCATGGCACAGTTTCAATGAGGTGCTGGAACCATTCTTCACAGATTCCGGTCCATGTGAACATGATAGCACGGTTGGTGTAGATCGATTTACTGCACATCCATGATGTGAATCTCCTGTTCCCCCACATCCCAAAGGTTCTCTACTGAACTGAGATCCGGTAGATTACTCAAGAAAGTAGTTTGAGATGATCAGAGATTTGTGACATGGTGAGCAAGAATGGTAGGATGTGGAGTACTTATGTGGAACAACCATAGTTGAACCGAGGAAGGAGCTGTAAGAGTACATCTTTCACCATTTTACGATGGCGTGATTGTACTTCTCTGTGAATAGTGCTCATAGCCTTTGAATATCAACGATTATAAAACTGAGCTCACATCTCACTGTTAGGCAGTCGTGTTGGGGGAAGCCTGCAGTGAGCTGAAGAAGTTACTTGAATAAGCGATGAAACATTTCTTCCACTGAAAACTCGGCTTCCAGATGAATAAAAGCAACTTTCTGGGATTTCCTAACCTGGATTATTGAGCATGCCTCAAGATATTCAGCAGGTTACCTAAACTGTGTCTGGATGCAGTGAGTTGTGAGTTAAGGTGTATCTAATAAAGTGTCCAGTGAGTGTGTGTGTACATATAGACACCTACGTTATCACTTGTCAGAGACCAGGGGTCAGAGTGGAGCCCTAGTAAATCCAAATTCAGAGAAATTCTAAACTTTTCCGTCCAAGCGTTGAGATCCCAGTGAAGCCACAGCTGCTCTGTGTTTTCCTGATGATAAACCGATAGTTTATCTTGATCTCAGCCAGAGGAACCTGGTTGTGGCAGATCAGATGGCACAACTCTCCTACAGAATCAGAAACAACATTTTTCCATGATGGTTGTGGATCACCATAACACAATGTGACATAATCATAAATCAGAATATTTGATCTTTATTATGAGGTTTGTTTTTTGGTTTCGCATCACTGTGGGCAGGATTTCTTTTGTAACTCTAAAATACAGCCTTAGTAAAGTAAATAACATGCTTTTGTTGTTGTTGTTGTTGTCGTCAGCTGAGAAAAAAACTTTCTGTTTGAACAAGAGTTTGATCTAAACCGTCTGTCAGTGCTCTTCTCGTCACTTCATCAGGTCGACAAACCTGGACCGAATTACACACGAGGCCTCCACATCACAACACTGAGCTTTATCAAAACACGGGGGACAAATCACTAAATAAACCTGTTGATTGTTCACACGATTGTACAATTGTCTGCTCCTCTGATGTCTTGTTTATGTTTACAGTAGATTTAAAAAGCCTTTGAAGTAAAAGACCGCTTGACTCGTCCAAGACATGTGAAACCTCCTTATCTCACATTTTGCATATTTTTGTCATCTTAGTACCTGACTCAGACTTGTTGATGTCTGCCTGTTTGATGAAGCGGGTCACTTTCTTGAACAGGCTGGGACTTGATCCTGAGGAAACAGGGCAGCGATGCCTCTTACAGCGTTTACATACAGCAGCAGTGATGTTGCGTGCAGATTCTGAACGGCGAATAAATCTGTGTCGGACTCATAAATGTACGGCGACTGCTGAAGAATGATGGTGATGGATCAGTATGATTACTGGAAGACGGGATGAAACGGGAAGAGGAGCAAAGAAAGAAAAGGAGCCGTCTGTCACCTTCTTTACCCGCTTATCTGTTATCCTGTTTCATTGTTTCTCTTCAGTTTCCTTTCTCTGTATTTTTGGGCCACTCAGCTGTTTTTTGTTTTTTTTTGTTCACCTGCTGTCATCGCCTGTCAAGAGCTCCCTCTTCCCTCTTTTCTCACTGTTGCTTTCTGTGCACTCGTCCCCCTCCCTCTGTCTTTGGTTCTCTTGCCCTCTTGGGCCTGATACTGTGCCACGCTGGAGGAAGGTCTGTGTCCGGATGCCAGCTGGCCAGGAGACTGAGAGATTTAAGAAAAAAAAGAAAAAAAAGACTAGATTAGAGAGAAGAGGTTAAATGACAGAAAACAGTAGATTTCCTATTAGAACGCATGGAAGAAGGAAAAAGATGCATCGGAGACACAGAATAAATGAAAGGTGGAGCGAAATAGAGCTGTCGGTGTTTCACTTGCTGACTGGCTGTCCTTTTTGCGGACCTGTCTATGAGGTTTTGGGATCAACATGACAGCCAGTTTGGCAGCAGCGATGTCTGGCATTCTGCTAATGATGTTTTGCAATCAGGTTTTGTAATAATGACAGCCGTGTGTGTTTTGTGTGTGAGTGAGTCAGAGGGGTGTAGCGATGCCGTGAAAGGCGCACCCTACCATCCACAGTAGACTCTGGCATGCATGTTACCATGGAGATGAGGCACAGCACAGATTACCACTTTATGGCACCCGCCTAACTGCAGTGTCACTTGCCTCTCAGGTCAAAGACCGCTTATTTTTCCAGGCTGTGAGAGGGCACATAGCGTCACCTTGACCCTTAAACAAGGACAAACGGGGTTCATGAAACAGATTCTACACAGACAAAGTATTTGCGGCACCGCTAGCTGACTTTCCTTTGTAGTCCGTGTAGTATTGATGAATCACATTTGAACAGCTTTTGACTGCATGGAGGTGAACAAGAAAAAAAGGGAACACTGAAATGCAATCTTGAAGCTGTTGGCCCCTGATGCCACGTAGCTTTTTAAAATCGATTGACAGTCGTAAACAATGACAAGTGGACTTAAGAGGAAGTATTGTCCCAGATATCTGCTGGCTACAAAGGAAGCCCTGAAATATTGGCTCTGTCTACAGAGGCTAAAGCATCAGAGGGTTGCCGATGGGATCCTAGATTGAGTTTAGTTCAGCTTGGCACATTTCCTATAAACATGGCTGTTGTGGCTGTGGCTGCTGTAGTCACTTTGGACTCCCAGGATGTAGAAATCTGGGAAAACCTGCAGAAAGTATTTCAGGACAAGCCATTTGGAAACACTTTAAAAGCTTCTTGATCAAACATGATTTGTTAAAGGTTTTGCATCCTCTGATTTCTGTCTGGAGTGCGACACAGTTTACATGCACGATGACGTAGACGGCTGTCAGTGCTGTCACAGGGGAGAGCCTGCGCCGTGCTGTATCTGTGAAAATATGCATGACTGCATTGTTGTTTTTGAACGTTACTTTTGGCTTATTTATTAACCTTTTCTTTTTTTTTTTTTGCTCCTTTTAAGCTGTCATTGTCATTTTACATCAAAGTAGGTCAAAGAAAACTTTTGATCATATGCTGTTTTGGTGCTGGTGGCAGATGCGATGCATGCCGTAAGTTCTTTGTCTTACCGCATAGAGAGGTCATAATCTTTATTCTGTTTCATGCCCCTAAATATCAACTAGGAAAAAAAATGTTGACACGAACCACAAGTGTAATTGTTGTAGTTGCACAGCTGGAATCTGTTAGTCGTGTGTGGACATATCTATTTTTCAAGCCTGTCCTTAACAGGCTCTCTGCAGCAGAAGTTTTCTTCCACAGTTGGTTGTGGAGCATCTGAAGTTTAGTACAGGTCAGCACACCCTCTTTCTGAGTAGATATTTACCCTTCTCTACCTTTTGCCTCTCAGTGGCCTCTTCTCCAATCCCTGTACTTCAATTCAAATGAGCAAAGTTGGGAACAAAAGTAAAAATAACTTAAACTTTGGAAAAGAAAATATCCCAACATCACCAACAACAACTTGAACTGTTGATGCCAAGCAGCATGGATACATGCTTTCATGTTGTTTATGCCAAATTCTGTCCCTTAACATCTGAATATCACAGCAGAACTGGAGACTCGTCAGATCAGACAACATTTTTTAAATCTTCTGTTGTGGAATCCGATATCCTCTTTTTAGCTGTTCTGACCTGACAGGAGTGGCACCCAGTGTCTTCTGCTGCTGTAAGCCACCTTTCTTCTTGGTTTGACCTTCAGCAGGTGGTCTTGACCATGTCTATATCCCTAAATGCACTGAGGTGCCATGCCATGAGCAGCTTAACAAGTGTACCTAATTAAATGGCTATCTATACAAACTTGTCTTTTTGTATTAAGCCGTATTCGGCATGCACCTTGCTCAGTTCTGCTGACGCATGCTCGTGAGTCATTCATGCTGGGAGTTCCAAGAGAGTTTGGACAGCCGCAGTCTTTTCTCTTTTTTTGTTCAAGTACACTTAGTCTGCTTTGCCTGAAATCTATTTCCAGACATTTCAAGTTTACTGTAAACAACAATTACAGCACGGCAGTGGTTTTTTTTCTCCTTTTGTAGTGTCCTTTTGATGTGTGCGCAGAGATTAGTAGGGAGAAACAACTGCCGCACGCCTTCTAGCTGAAGGAGCACGGTGCTTCCAGACGGTTTCACTTAGAAAGGCTCTTGTTTACTTGAAGTCATCTATTCAGACATGTGCATGAACACTGAGAGCCAGGTGTGGTTTGCAGCTGAAT